TTGTTACCGGCTCCAGACCTAGGGGAATCTGGACCGGCACAAGCCAAATCACGCACAAAACTGTGAATGATAAGGAGACAGACACGTTATAGCATTGCTCGAGTGCAGTTTAATATATCAAAGATAATTACTTTTTTTTAAAGCTAACACATTGTACACAGTGTTCCAGAATAAAACCAAACGTATATCAATAAGATAAAATTTAAATGTGTCATGGATATCAATACACATATTACTCAATGCAATATCAATACACAATATCAATACACACTCAATGTAACTAGATTTTCTCTGTGAACAAAAGGCATTAATACATTGAACAAAAATACTTTATACACTTGAATACACTCCTCAGAATACAGTCTTGGTCTTACTTTGAGATACTTAAGTAATATTACAAGAATTATTAAAATAATACATTTCTTACTCTATCTATAACTACTGGTATAAATGCAAAAATGATGCTAATCATTATAATTAATTCAATGTAACATTTTCCTTCACAACATTTCCAATTTACATTACATCAGCATTTATATTAACACTTGTTAATATATTTATGAGAAATACCGACAATTTAGGATTAAATAAATGTCACTTTTACTCATGTAATAACCCTAAGTTATTGAGAAAGCCAATTATGATGTTATAAAACCAAAAATCCAGCATTAAAACATTAAACTTGTACTATCACTTATTACTATTGTGTTACTATACACTACTATACAGCGTTATGCTTTCACAAACATTTTAGAAGAGAATCAATATAAAAATATGCCTCATATTAACCTAATCTGGCTGACATTCATAACAAATGTAACAATTACAACAATTACTTAACATTAAAGTGCTTAGAAAAGGATCTAATGCATATTTCTGAATGCATACATCACTACATGCTCCGTTCACATCATTTGAGTTAACCATTAACTCATCATTAGCTTCGGCTGCTTTTGCTAACCACGAGTGGCTACAATGTTTACGATCTAATTAAACCAAAAACGAATCAATTCCTAGAACTAACACCTTCTAAAATAGTTTCTTAACATTTCTTAAGAGTAAAGATGATAAATGTTTCACACAAACCACTTTAAATGAGTGTTTATCCATACCTGTGAATGATAAGGAGACAGACACGTTATAGCATTGCTCGAGTGCAGTTTAATATGACCTCGAGCTGCCGGTCTCCTAGGTAACCCACTAACGCGCCACACTGCCCTCTACAGGTGTGGTGCTGAACTACATGAATCATTTCATTTACTCATAAGAACTAGGACAGGAATAAAACAAAAAAATTGAGGTAAAGGGTGAGAGGGGGGGTTAACTTTTTCTTTTAATCACATTATATAAAATAATATCCCTCTATCCGTCACATTTTCAGTATTGCATAAAAGTGTGCGAAGGCACATGTAATGAAAAGAATGGGAATCCCGCCGTTTTTATATTTATTTCAAAGTGTTTTCATGCCTGAACAAAGCCAAAGCACAGAACAGACTCACATTTAAGAGCAAGGGCCGGCCCTTGGTGGTTATGAAATTGATAATAGTCGCATAAACTTTTCACCAGAAGATCAACATTGTCTGAAAAACACTAGCTGTGCGTATAAAACGTTAAATGGGTATTTCATTTGAACTTTCGTTTTCTAAGATCAAGTTACAACACAACAAAATCAATTGAATGAGTTTATTTTTTACATTTTATTTTGTTGTTTATTTGTAACTTATTTACACTTATTTATTCAGTTTATAGAATTTAATAGAATTATTTTTTAAAAATTATATATTATTATTTATGCAATATTGTTATAATAATATATAATTTTATATTGGGTCAACTAAAATAATTTATATTTTTATAGTTTAAAAATAAACATCATGCCAAAGGGAAACAATATTTTTACACAATTTCACTCTTTATTAAGGTTATTTATAGTTCTATATTTTAGTTTTATCAATTAGGATGTCCTTTTATTATTATTATTATTATTGTTGTTGTTGTTTTGTGTTTTGTGTGTATCTTGAAAATGTGTAATTTAATTATCGAATCATTTTATTTTTATACAATTTTGATCTTTATTTTAATTTTAGTTTAAGTAATTATATATTGAAATTGTGTTATTATTTTAATTAATTAATTGATTAATTTTTCAGATTTTAAGTTAGCAAGACAAAATGTTTATTCATTTATTTTTACATAAATGCAACCTGCTAGGCAAGCATTTGTGTAGCTGCCCCTTTAAACATTATACTGTATATACATAAATTACAATACATAGAATACAAAAAACAACATATTTGTAGATTTTCCAGCCCCATCTGCCCCGTTTTTAAGACATCTGCAAGAATTGTGAGTTTAGCTTCAGTAAATCTGCAGTTCTGCTGGGTTATTTTGCTGGGTTAATTCAAGGTTTGTTCTCGTCTGCTTTGTGTGAGTTTAATATGTTCTGACAGGAGCAGCTCATTCATTCATTCACTTATTCTCCTCCTTTTCTCCGCCGCTGTTATGAGGCTTTATGTCATGTTTATGTCACGTTAAACTCTGAGGTTAGAGATACTCTGGATGTGTTTGTCATGGAAGTGAAAGGATGGATATAAAAGCACGCAGACTGAGTTACCGCTGTACCATACTAGTACAGGTAAGACTCAGCTGCAGATACGGTTTAGTTAACAGTGGGATTGACTAGCAGTGAGAAATCTTAAAGCACAAATAAATACATTTTAAAAATGTATTTAACTTTATTCATTTATTTCTGTTATATTTTGATTATATTTTTAAAACAATAATCATTAATTTATTTATTTTATATTTTGATAATTTTTTTTAACAATAATCATTCATTTATTTCTGTTATATTTTAATTATATTTTTAAAACAATGATTATTTTTATTAACATTTTATAACATACTTTAAATAAATGTTTTAAAAATAAAATACAATTTTATGAAAAAGCTGCATACAAAATTGCAATTTATGTATGTATGTATGTACGTATGTATGTATGTATGTATGTATGTACGTACTGTATGTATGTGTGTATGTATGTATGGATGTGTATGTATGAATGCATGTTATATTTTGCAAAAAAAGCTGTGAACCCAATCATTTTATATAAACTCTTAAGTATTTTCTACTGTTATTTGTATTGCATTTATTTAGCATAATTGGTAATTTTTTTAAATTAAAGATGTAATTATATAAAGTTAAAAGAATTGTTGTTAAAATGAATTAGAAAAATAAAGGCATGAGATGAGTTTAAAAATGTGCTTAATTATTGTGGAAAAAATGTCACAAAGCACAAAATATCTGCAGTTGATTGAACAGAATTCACGCTCTTTATGTAATTTATTATTATTATTATTATTTACAATTATTGTCTTCTAATTTTGAGTAAACTATTTTAGCATTTCCATACTGTAATATAAAGCGTATATGATTTTATTAAGTATTCTTATAATTGTTTATATATATATTACTATTATGTTATAATAGTATGTCATTTAGTGTTATGACAACTGAAATTATTGATATTATTACTATTTTTAAAAGTGAGATTTTTTTTTTTATATATATATACATTTTCATTTTTTTTAATTGCACATACCTTTGGAGCTGTGTTTTTTAGCTTTATTTTTATTTCAGTTTTAATTGTAGTAGTTTAAACACTTTAACTGGATTTATTTTAGTTATTTGCCAAAACAATATTTTTCCTAATTTATTTTACCTAAAATTGATGTAAAATTTATTTAAACTTTTTCGATTAATACAACTATATTAATCATGTTTTAATAGTTTTCCAGAACTTATTTATCCTAAATTAGTCAGTGCATTCCAGTCTGATGTGTGCAACCGTCCAGTCCAGTCCAGTCCTTTGAGCAGCCATCCAATTAAAAGAGAGAGGATAAAATGTAGGCGTGGCCAACAGTACAGACCAACAATAGCAGTAAATTCAGTCATGCAGAGCACAAACACACACACAGAGATGCACAAGGACAAAAACACACACACACACAGAAGCACACATACAGATGCCCAAGCACAAAAACACACAAAAGTACAAACACACACACGGAAGCACAAATAC